TTGACCAGTTGTAGAATCCTCAAAGTGTGATGACACATTAGTGTGGAGTGACACCAGAGGAGTTTGGATGTCAAGAAGTAAATGATAGAAAGGCAAGTCTAAGAAGAGACAGAGGAGGTGCAATGTAGCATAAGCCGTAGAGACTTATAAGCCAGGGACAGTGAGCAGTGGACTTAGAACATTTTAGTTAAAAGCACGGTCCATAGAACTAGACTGTTGGATTGAAGCCCCAGCTCTATTTCTGCCAGTCTGCAACTAGAAAAACAAAGAGTTTAACACAATTGCTGTTTCTTTAGTTTGCTCTTTTATAAAATAGGAAAGAAAATACTAATAAGAAAAGAAAATACTAATAAGCTATAGAAATACTGTTGAGATTAAATGCCCAAGATACTTACAAGAGTAACTGGGCATATATTACACACTCAGCAAAATTGCTACCATTATTTTAAACTGAAAGAGGATGGGAGCCAATGGAAAAGAAAGTCAATTTAATGCTATATTTAAAATCAGCCTTAGAACTCTCTTCCTGACCCCAACGTAAAATGCTAAAAAAACAAGAGAATGAATCAGGGCCAACATGTGAACAGACTTATAAAGCTTCAACCCAATGCATGCATCTGAGTACTTCCGTAGCGTTAGCTTTGGTTACGGGACATATTTATTGATATTCTGATTTTGAAGGTAGCAGCTGTTCCCTTCCTCGCATCTATAGCATTTGGCATATTGCCAATCAGAAATAACCGAGTCAAGGACATTGTGTTTCAAATTTACAATACAATACTAGCTCCCTATTAAAGACAAATTCTGTATTTCAAATTGTTGACTCAGATAATGCTTAAAAAAGAATTTCAGCTGCTTAAATTTAGCATACTGAGAAAGATCAATCTTAAAATATGACTTGGCTCTAAGCCCGTAACTTTTTCCCTTTATTCTTTCTTAGAGTTTGTTGTCTTTTGTGACAAGGAGGCCAGTGACAGTATTCACATCAGCCTCTGCAACTCTTCTCATTCTACCTACATCAATCATTTTGGTTTTTTAATTTTTGTTAAAGATGGTCTTTTGCCTCCTGACAAATTTCCAGGCAACAGATATGCAAGAAGCAGTGGTCTTTCCAGCAGTGTTTTTTCTCCCCAGTCATCATTGGATACCTCCTCACCCCACTTTGCTTTGCATCATAATTTTATTTTCTGCTTTGCAAAACTACACAAAGGAAATCTGAAGGTAAGCCTCCTTTGGACAATCAGACCTTAGGATTGTTAAAAACATGTTTACCACTATTTAAAGAGATCATTCGAGTATGAGACTTTAAAGGTCTTCATTCCATACACAGCCCAAATAATGTTTTAATGTCTCTTAGGATGGATTCTGGAATTAACCCCATCTCCTACCATGCCATCTTTTTATTTCCCTTTAGCCCCGCCCCACACACACATGGGCACACACTTTGTTTTTAGATCTCTCAACTACTTTCCTTTTTCATTAACTCTATCATCTTCCTTCCTGGTAGTGTTCCCAGATTCGTTTCCACAGTTTGTGAAGTCAAAGCAGAAATGAAACTGGAATGATCACTATGCCAAGTTTAGAGGCGGTGGTCCATTTAAGTCCCAAATTTGGTGGTTGCAATCTTGGGTATAGCAGAGCAGGGAAATCGCTATTACCTGCATGATTTCTCAGGTACTCATGACCAAATGCATCCTGGGAATGGTATGCTTACACCCCCTGACCCATAGCAGAGTACCCTTTCAATAGAACAGGCAGCAAAGTGATTAGAAGAGTTAGGCACATGAAGGTCTAATCCTACCCTATCATATACCAAACAAGTTGCTCTCTGCAATTTTTTAATTCTCCATGGGATTGAGTTTCCTTTCAGTGGGAGAGAATGCTGTCTCCTAAAGTTGTTGTAATATTTTTTAAATGTCATATTCAAACCACTGGACCTACTACTTCCAATTACTGTGCCCACAGCATACTCATTCATTGTATGACCAAATCATACATGGCAATAATCCAGGAAGCTCCTTAGAAGTTGAACCTCCTTCGCCATTAACACCAAATCGTGAATAAATGCGTGCAACTCTTACTTGATGTTATTTTATGTTGATGGTTTGTACAAGAGAGAAAATGGTAAAGTGGGAGACAGGCAGAACGACGATGCCTATTTACAAGGTTGCCTGAAGCATCCTCTGGGCCAGTGCTCCAGAAAAAAAAAAAAAAAAAAAAAAAAAAAAAAAAAGCATTACTCCGAAGAGAATTCTGTAATAGTGTTATGCATATATACAAATACAGCTCTGTTCCCAAGGACAGCCAGGAGCAGAAACTTCCAGGAAAGCATAATCTGAAAATGTTATTTCAAGTTTCAATATCACATCATAGTCATCATTGATGAACAAAATCATGTTTAGGGACTAATAGTCATATTTGATTGGTCAAGTCACAAGTTTTCTTTCAGTAGTGTGCAAGGAAAACCATGAGACACAGGATACTTTTCTAGCTTAGAGACTGTCTCAACCTCAATGGTTTAATTATGAAAATGATTGTTTTATTTTTAAAAAATTGCTCTGTCAATCTCTTTTTAAGACATAATATGAACTTTGTTTACCAGTAGGATGGGAAAGCCTGACTCAAAGTCATGTCTTTAGCTCAATTGTACTTACTGAAGGTTCTATCTTTAAAAAAATTTTCATAAATTGCTATCAATACATTTAGACTGATTTTCCTTTTCATCGTGAAATATTCAAGCTTAAAGTCATAGTGCATTTTAGAGTCACACGAAAATGCTTAACTCAGTCCAACTTACTTTTTTTGGCTTTTATGTAAATGTTTCTTTTGCTTTTTTATTGTTGTTAAAATTTGTAACCACTCTCTCATATATACTACCATAACATTGTCCTAGATATCTTACTCAATAATTCCTAAAGTCACCTGTAGAGCATATGCATAGAGAAATTTGATCCATGGAAGAGATTACCTATTTCAAATTAATTATTTCAACAAAACGTCAAAAATTCTAAGGAAGCCTTTATATTTTAGAATTATGTAAGATGAGTAATTAATTAGACAAAACAATTCAAATTACATCCTGAACATGTTTTATTTTTAGTCATGTAATGAAGATTAGATAAATTAGAGAAACAGTAATATAATTTAAAACAAATAATAGGATAAAAGTGACCCCTAATTTCCTCATTTTTCTTGACAAAGGACTTCAGAATTACCTTGCATTTCACAACAGTCATTTGAAAAGTCTCAAATTACCTCTTCCTACAGAGTTATACTAGCCTATGGAGATTCCCAGTATAGAAATCTAGATCTTGTTTTAGGTTACTTTTGTTCTCACAATAACCTTTCTTGGAGAAAAAATATAATAATACAATGTCTTCTCCCATGATCTTCCAATAAAGTCCAGCATTAGCCTTCCTATCATTTTTTCATTAAAAACAAACAAAACAAAACAAAAAATAATAGCAACAACAGAAAAAAAAATTAAAAAAAAAAATCTGTGTGGAAGGACTTGACTAAATAGTCCAACATAAGATTAATGATTTCTATTTCTCTTTTAGAAAAAGACCTTTCCTGTTCTGCTTGTGTTCATGGGTATTTGGTCATTTGTTTCATGGCGAGCTGGTCCTTTGCTGACCCATTTTTAGAAAAGTTGGTTATCTGCAAGGTTGAACAACCAGCTAAAGTTGTTCTTTTAAAAGTTTGGTAAGCCTTGGTGTTGGGCCACTGAACACTGCCGCTTAGTTTCCCAGTAAAAAAAGCCTTTTATGTAGAAATCACCACTTTGTAGTTTCCAGGAAGCCACAGCGTGGCAAGTGGAAAGGATGACTACCTGGGTGAGAAACTGAGGCAAGCTCCATCCCACCCATTGGCATATTTAAATGTTTATCATATCCTCAGCGTCGCCCAGGTTGTTGCCTAGCAGCTATCTAGAACGGAGTCACATTTCATCTGACTTCAATAAGGTAAATCAGTGACAGTTTGTCTCTGATTGTTTATTTTGCACATTAGGAAACAAACCTGAAGCGAAACTTACAATAACAAGTAGGTCATCTGAAATTCTAACCAGCCTCATAATTATTTGTTTCTTTTTTTTTTTTTTTTTTTTTTTTTTTTTTTTTTTTTTTTTTTTTTTTTTTTAATAAGCAAGCTGCCTTCTCATCAGTAACTTTCAAAGATCACTTTGGCAACAAATCTAGCATACTTCTTTTGGTATTTTCGCCTAAAATGGCAGTGGATTGGGCACTTTTGCAGAGGTAACTAACTAAAGGTATTCAGCAACAAATTAATTAATTAATTAAAAAATTAAAAAAAAAAAAAACACAAACAAAAAGAAAAGAGGACACGAGGGTTGTGCATGACCAGCTCAGGAGTCTGCAAGCCGCCCCGACTCTTGTCTCACGGAAAACACCCCGCCAGGCTCCCCAACTTGCCCGCCGCCCCCTCCCAGGCGCGGCCCCAGCCGCTGGGATCCGGCGAGCGCGCGGAACTCACCGCAGTGCGCTGCGGGCCGGCGAGGCGCGTCCCGGGCGAGGGCGAGAGCGCGAGCGGCCGCTTCTCGGGGCGCCGCACCTCGGCCGGGGACCCTCGGTCCTCACGCGCGCCCGCCCCGCGCTGTTGGGTCGGGGCCCCGCACGGCCAGCGCGGCTTCCCGGGAGCAGAGCCTCGCCAACTCCGCTCGCGGCATCCTGCCGCCCGCGGCCACCCCGCTCCCAGCTCAAGGCTCGGCCGCAGGAGCGGGCGCCCGAGGGGTGAATGACTTCCCAGAGACGCGCAGGCTGCCCGCAGCCCCCAGACCCCCTCGATCGTTCGCAACTCAAACCCAGAGAAGGATGCAAGTCAGTTTTGGCGTCACCCCCTCCCGAGGCGCACCTCCTCCTCCGCCGCCGCGGCCACCCCGGGGTTCCGGGCTCCCCCTCACGCCAGGATCACAGACGAGCTCGCGTTCTCCGTGCCAATGACACCCGGGAGCAGCCCGAATTGCTCAGAGACACAAATACCTGTTGTCCACAACTACAGCTCCGCTTTCACCTCTCGGAGTCCTTGATTTGCATGGAGACGCGTGGAGATGGGAAGTCTGAGCGGGCGTGTGTGTGTGTGTGTGTGTGTGTGTGTGTGTGTGTGTGTGTGGAGAGGCGGGCGATCTGCGCGGCTGCAACAGCCCTGCCTGGCTCCGGCTGCCACCGCTGTTGCTACTATCGCTGTTGGGGCGCAGGCAGAATGAGAAGGGCTGGCTGCACAGCTGTTTAACTGCTGGCTGAGTGATGACGGCGGGTGGGGAGACCGTGCAGGTAGGAGCAGCTGCGAAGGGGACTTTACACTGGATTCGCCACAACTGCTACGGTTCGGGGTGCGTTTCCCCTCCACCACAACAGCGGACAGCCCCCTCCCCGCTTTCTAACTCTGCAGTCTTTAGGGGTCATTCATTGTTCGGCCACCACCTGCCTAATCCACGTCCACCAATTGCAGCAGCTGCACACTGTGCTGCTGCATTCGCAATCGCTGATCTGGGAGCAGGTAACTGGAGGATGCACACGGGTAAAGTAGAAAAGCAGTTGGGTACCAAGAGGGAAAGTGTTATGGATATGCAACCAATCAGGGCACAGATGAAGATGATGATGTTGGAACCACGTGTGCAAAGTAATGCATTGGGTAATAAAAAGATATGCTAGTCAATAACCAAGTTATTTTAAAGAATGTGTGCAAAGTCTAATAGTTACTAAAGGCAAGGTCTGCTGGCCTAGATGTAGGACATCATCACACATGTGTTCCTTAGTAGTCTTCACTTTACCCTGGATACCCTCTGAAATGTCAGTGTTTTAATACCACCCTATCAGCTACAGATTTTGATGGAAAGTTGTTACTGCTCTCCAAGGTCTCACTTTCTCTCTGCTTATTAGGGACTCATCCTCTGTCCTTATTTATCTCAAACATAGTCTCAGGCAAGAGGATATCAGAATGTAGAAGCTAAAGACATTCTCAATCCCCCCCACACACACCCAAGGCTGGAATGCATCTTAATTCCTAACCTCATTTAGTCTAACAAAGATTTGTCTTGTTCTTGTTCTGTAATAAAATGGATAATCAATAACCCCTCCTAAATACATACATATACACATACACATACACAGACACACACACACACGCACATTCACACCAATTAACAGAACTATTAATATACTTTCAGACTTCATTTGTCTAAGCTAAACATAAACATGTCTTTTTGATATTGTTTGCAATGCATAACTTTAATTATTTCAGACTTGTTTTGAATACTTTTCATGTTTGCTATGTGTTTATCCAGTTGTAAGGTTCTGTGTAATCAGGGATAAGTTAAAAGGGAACGCAGGAAAAAGAAAGCCCCTGGAAATACAACAAAACCCCAAATGAACACAAGAACCCAGAAAGATTAAATAATACTTCTTTTCTGATTTATTTTTATAAAAATTACTTCCTTTAATCAAAGACCAGCTAATGAGAAAAGTGTTACCAATTATCCAATACTTACTTCTTCATCAAAATCAACTTAACTATAATAGCAACAGAAAAAATTATCACTTAATGTTATTTTTTTAAACTTATGCAATGGCTTATGTGCAAAACTTATTGGGAATTTTGAAAAATGTCAAAATGCTAATGAAACCCGATGTCATATTAGTTTTACATTTTCATGCTTTCAATATTAAATAACTACTATCTAAAACACAACTGCACTAAAAATATAGAGTAACTTCCTGTTTTTATATGTGTATACATATCAATCCAAAGAAGTAGCCTTCACCATTTAGAAACAAATAGTTTAATCTTAATCCACAGATTCCTTAAGTTTATTCCATCCCTCGACTTATCACTTAATAAATTTTTCAGGCTCTGATATTCCATAGTTTGGTTTTATTTCCCCTTAAAATTATTCATAATATTTTACATTTCAAATATATTTTTTAAAAGCACAAATTTTCTTCAGAGCCTTGATTTATTAGAATTTTTAAATACAAATAAGCACTGGTCTGCTTAGTGATGGAAGTACCATGGGAAATTGAAATATTTGCTAATGGGTGACACTAATTAGGAGGTTTTTAAATTACTGACATCCCTCTTGAAATTTAAAGTGAAACAATTTTCCAAAAAAAAAAAAAAAAGACCACATTTGGAAATAGATAAAGAAAGTCAGTTGAGGACTGATAAATAATTCTGAATTCCTAACCCTCAGAACTCAGAAATTTCTAATTTGTGAGAAATTTTACATATCGATACTTTGCAATCTGCTGTTCATTTCTCTAAAATGTATCTCTGGATTTTATAAATTTCATGGGAATCTTTGTGCAATTATCTAACAACATAGAGATAGGAAATGAATGTGCTGTATCCATGTGCATTAATAAAATAAATCATTCACATATGAAAATATAGAAATATGTCACGTTAATTTTCATCTAAATCTCACTCATAATGAAAATCTGTATTCCCAAAGTAATTAATTTAGCAATATTCTTTTACAGTAGGAAGTTTGCAAAGTCTTCCATGGCGCAAGCCAAATCTGTGTAGTTCATTCATGTAGCTCCAGCATCTAGCAAATGGCTCAGAACATGCCATGTACAAAATCAATAGTTTTTACCAAAAGAGTGAAGGAAAAAAAAATCTATGGGTCCAGGAAATTGAGAAGATAAATGATCTGGGATTAAAGATGGTTAAATCCTTCCTATCTTTTTCTGATGTTAAATAATTGTAGCACATTAAGGAAGTGACTCAGTTTTCATGGTCTCTAAGTATCCTTTCTGGTCTGTCACTCACAAACCTCACAAAACTGCACAATAAATATCCATGCCCAATATTATGCCAAATGGATTTTTACTTTCCAAATGCAATCAATAAAATTCTCTAGAATTTCATTTCCTGACCATTTTACGAACCAGAATCATAAAGGATTTTATTTAATCCTTGAGCAAAATACTTATAGAGCTGGCTTTACAGTCTTTTAACTTTCAATTCTGTACCTAACATTATGGTTACTACTTTACAAACTTAAAGAAAATAAATTAGTACACACTTATGATGTATGTGCATGAGTTCTTAAAACGATAGCAGTTTTCACTGACTTTTTGTTTCTCTCACTTAGATAGTTGTCAAAAAACAAGCAAAAACAAAAAATGACATTATTTTTAGTACTATGAATCTATTTTAATCAACTCCCTTGATGTAAACTAATGGTTAAAATTGTATTGTCATGTTAATTATATCCAAAACACTTACTGAACACCAATCATATGCAAAGTATTGGGACCAGAAATGCTGCTCAGTTAGTCATAGCACCTGCTTTTTAAAGAAAATATTGCCTCAAAAATAAATGTATCATTATCTTTTATTTGAACTGCCTAAGTACTCAATGTTTTAGAACAATCGAGTCATTGAAATTTATACACATGATTTAAATCAACCCATCTTGACTTTAGTGATGAGACTTGCTTTCTAAGTGGAACTGACTGTCATATAGAAACTCTCCCCCTGGATTCAAATCTATAAATCACTAGACATAAGTTGAAGGTTATGGGACACTCAGAAAAGTCATGATTTTATTGAACTTTCTTTAAAAAAAATAATGCTCATAAAATATTGCATTTGGATAGGCCCTTAGACCTCATGTAATTCAATTCTTGTATTTACAGTAGAGGAAACTGACCAGAGAGATCACTGTGGCTTTTTCTGGGAAGGTCGTTTTAGTCGTTTTCCACTGGACTCTGGTATGCCATGAAGCAGACACATTTCAATTTCCAGCTCTCTAATGGCTAGCTGCATGACCTTGGACAAATTTTCTCTCCTGTGTACTGAGGATAATTATATAGTGGTTGAGGGAATCAAGGAATATGAATCATGTAAAATACACAGAAGGGTGCCTGGCAGAGCTCCTCATATCCCTGTGCATGCATATGAACACACTCGTGCACACACACACACACACACACACACACACACACACCCTCCAGAAGATCAGTTTTTATGACTAATGCATCTGCTTTTCTTGAATCCCTTTCTGCAGTTACTAAGTGCAGAACTTATGAATTAATATTCGTGTATGTATCTGTAAGTAAAGTTATATTTCAGTGAAGATGGTAGAATATATATGGTTTCTTTAGCAGTAGTAGGCATATCAGTGAACTGGGAGGAAACTGTTAAATCTGGGAGTGAGGATGCTTCCTCTTCCAAAAAAGGTAATTTGGCGATGTAAAGCAGTCTGATTGAGCAATGAAAAAATCACACAAGTCAGTGAGAAAGCTATACACTCCTTTTTCAGGCACCTACAACACGTGAGTGCCCAAGCTAGATACATATTTAAGGAATGTAGAATTATAGAAAATGCAACAAAAAATAATTTAAAGCACAACATAGGAAAGCTATGACCAAGAAATTGTAGTTTTTGCAATGGGAGCTACATATGAGAAATTAGCAGGCTGTAATAGAGCCCAGCCATTTATTTGGCTGTCTTAGTGATGGATGTATAGTACGGTATAATTGATTGAGCAATGGTATTCCACATAGAGTTCCTGAAAGTGGCCACATTTTATATTGCATGACCTCACTTTATTATGTAGACCAATGGTTTATAAAAAGCAAAGGCACACATATACTGGTTGTTTGTTTGTTTTTCTTTTTTTGTCTAGAAAGGCAAGAGAGACATATTTAACGACCTCTTCTGTGCCTGCTCTAACGTTTCAAGGCTATCCCTCAGCTCGCCCTCACATGCCAGAGGCCATTTCTGTGTTTGTCTGTATACTAGATTTATAGGACAAATTATATCCAAATTTTTGCAGAACTCTGCAAAAAGAAGGCACTAAAAGGATTTTCAAATTGCATTGATATGTAGGATCAAATAATTGCACTGAATCATAGTTTAAATAGAAAAGATAATCTCTATTCAATATTTGAATCTTTTAAAGACCATTCACAAATTTCAAGAAAATCAGTACAGAAGGTATAAGCAACTAAAGTGATTAAATCTAGTTTATATTTTATAGTATGAGAATAATTTAGGATAAAATGCAGATAGAAGGAGGCTTGAGTAGGTTTTGTTGTTGATGCTGCTGCTGCTGTATTTGATTTAACCTTAAAGTAAAATTTGACTAAATTGCAATTTGGATCTCTGTAACTTTCAGAAAGGCCAGTAACTTAAAAAAAAAAAAAAAAAGGTCTGTATAAAACTGCAGTGGTAATGATAGCTACCTGCACTGTTCATTAAACATGGAAATACATGGGGCTGGTGATTTAGCTCAGTGGCATAAGCACTTGCCTTGCAAGCACACGGTCATGAGTTCGATCCCTGGTACCAACAACAACAACCAAAAACTTAAAAAAATGGAAATACATGTAGATTAGGTATAGAGATGGATTTAGAAGATAAGGTTTTTTAATAGACACATGAA